GGGATGCACCAATACTAGTATCGGTATTGGTGCCGATGCCGAGTACTTGGAAGAGCACTCGTACTCACCCAAACGCCTAGCCCGATACTTCCTGTATCAGGAAGCCGGGCAGCACACTATTACACGCTGTCCGGCTTCCTGATTGGCCGGGAAGCCATCTCCATGCTCCCTCGTCACCTCATGATCACCTCATGGCCACTCAGGAAGCCGGGCAGCGTGTAATGATGCGCTGCCCGTCTTCCTGATTGGTCGGGAAGCTGGCCAATCAGGAAGCTGGGCACCGTGTAATGACGCAGCGCCCGGCTTTCTGATTGGCCGGGAAGCCGGCTTCATGCTCCCTCGTCACCTCATGACGAGAGAGCATGGAGCCGGCTTTCCGGCCAATCAGGAAGCCGGGCGCTGCGTCATTACACGGCGCCCGGCTTCCATGATTGGCCAGTAAGCCTGGGGACGGCTTCCTTGTTAATTGGGAAGCCAGGTGGCAGCGAGTTTTTACACGCCGCCTGGCTTCCTGAATGGGACTTCCGGTACTCGATATTCGGTATCGGCGAGTACCGAAAAAATTATATCGGTACTCGTACTCTGTAGCGAAATACCGGTATCGGTGCATCCCTAAGTAATAGCATGCAATGTCAAGCTCCAGTTTCTAAAGCAAGCAAAATACTTTCTTGTATTATAAGGACGCAATGGACGAGGGGGCTCTCTGCGTCTGGAGGAAAGTACGTTTAACCTTTGCCTATGGAAAGGCTTCCTCACGGTAAGAGCTGTGGAGATGTGGAATGCGCTTCCTCACGATGTAGTTCCAGCTCTGGATACATTTACAAATGCACAGAATATTACTAGATATTAACATTTTCTATGTAAACACCAGAGATCATTGATCCCGGGAATATCTCATTGCCTTATGGAATTCGGGAAGGGATCTTTTTTCCCTGTTGGAGCAAATTGAACCGTGCTTTATAGATGTTTTTTTTAATTTGCCTTCCTCTGTCGGCCATTGGCTTCTGTTTGTTTTTTCTATTCTTTTTTTTTCTCTCTATGGGTTGAACTCAATGGACTTATGTAAATATATGTGTACATAGCTACATTATTATGTAACTAGGTAACAAGGAAGCACACTGAAATTGTGTCAGTGCATTCTACAGGCACCTTTAATAAGTACTAGGGATGCACCAATACTGTTTTTATCGGTATTGAGTACAAGTACCGATATTTTTTCTTTTTGGTACTCGCTGATACCGAATACCAATTCCCGGAAGTACGATTAAGGAAGCCGGCCAGCGTGAAATGACTCGCCACCCAGCTTCCTGATTACCAGGGAGGCCGGCTCCACGCTCCCTCGTCACCAGGTGATGAGGAAGCATTAAGCTGGCTGTCGGGCGGGTCATTTCACACCACCTGGCTTTCTGATTGGCCGGGAAGCCGGCTTCATGCTCCCTCGTCACCAGGTGATGAGGCAGCATAGAGCTGCCTTTCTGGCCAATCAGGTAATCACTCGCCGCCCAGCTTCCTGATTGGCCAGGAAGCCGGTTCCATGCTCCCTCGTCACCAGGTGGTGAGGCAGCAAGGAGCCGCCTTTCTGGCCAATCAGGAGGCGCAAAATGACTCCCCGGACAGCTTTCTAATTGGCCGGCTTCCTGACCAATCAGGAAGCCAGGCGGTGAGTCATTACTCGCCCCCCAAATTACTGTGTGGCCGGGAAGCCAGCATCATGCTCCCTGGTGACGAGGAAGCATGGTGTCAGCTTCCTGGCCAATCAGGAAGCCGGGCGGCAGGTAATGACTCCCCGCCCGGGTTCCTGATACCGGAAGTTTCCAGTATCGGGAGCATTTGGGCGAATACTCGCCCAAATACTCGGTATCGGCAACGATATCCAAAACTAGTATAGGAATTGGTGCATCCCTAATAAGTACATTTACAAACTTCTAGATCTATATGGGTACTAGGAGTGGGATAGAACATATGGAAATTCGATAGAGAAATACAGATTTATTTTACATTTTTGACCAGAGGTTTGACAAAGAGACATGAAACCCTTAAAGGAAAACACCAGGCAAATAAAATCTTAAAGGAGAACTATGAGGTGAGTGAAAATCACTCATCCTCATAGTTCGAGCCGACGTGTGACAATGAAACTGTCACACGTCGGCTCAATAGATCAGGAAGTGAGCGAACACATACCGTCGCTCGCTCACTTCTTGATCATCTCCCTGCAGAGAGCCGTGACTGTCACCCACGGCTCCCCGCAGCGATTCCCCCCTCCCCTCCCTGATCCTCCAGCACTGACTGGCGGAACGGACGGGGGAGGGGGAGGGTACAGCTGGCTCGGCCTCTAGATAGGCAGAGCCAGCTGTCACTCACGCAGCTGGGTGGATCTCGACAGTAATAACTGCCGCAGGAGTATATCTTCTTTATTTGGGCCCCTAGACAAAACAAACCTTAACCCTTGCAGTGCCGGGGGTAGCCCGTGAGGGTATACTTTGTTTCAGTCTTGTTTATTTGTTAGATGACAGGTAATCCTCTTAGACAGTTATCACAGGGAAAAGTATGCCAATTGGAATATTTCCCCTCTATTCCTATTCTGGTGATAAATCAGATTTCCCATCACTTTCTGTGTTGGTGACAGCGGTCTCCGGGAACAAATAGAGAGGGTGAAACTCTCCATCAGGGACGCAGACTGCCTGTAAGGCACACATTACAGTATTGGTTTATGTTAACAAATCTGAGGGTTTAATGTCACTTAAATATCTGATAAAGGAATCCCAGAGCACTATGAGAGAGCAGACACTGTTTTGAGGCTCCATCTACCCACTGTTGCACCTTTATCTGCAGAGCCTTTCCTATTATGAGGCAGACAGATTGTGGCCTCATGTGGCATCTCTTTGGGTCACATTGGGGGGGAAGGAGGCAGCTGGCAGAGCTGCATGACCGCTCTGCTGCACAATATTTGCAGTGTGCCTGCCGCCCCCTTTCTGGTCATAGCGTCCCAGGTTGCAATGAGCTGGGCGGGGAGATGTGTAAGAGCCATACAAATCCCCCCCACCCTCCAGTTCTTGACAACCTGGGACATTTTGACCGGCAGTGATGTAACTGGTTGCCAGGAGCTGGGCAGGACACCTCTCTCCATCCAGCTCTTAGCAACCTGGAGCACTCTGACCCATGTCCCGCCCAGCTCCATGCTCCAGCGTGGAGCTGGGCGGGACGCGGGCAAGAGCTTCCCAGGTTGCTAAGAGCTGTGTGGGGACATGTGTAAGGGCCATACAAATTTCACCGGCCAGCTCTTAGCAACCTGGGGCGCTCCAGGAGTGACATCACTGGTTACCAGGAGCTGGGCGGGATGCCGGTAAGAGCTGGAGCCCACCCAGGTGGTGAGAAGGCTAAGGACACACCTGTTTACGTGTGTTGTGCTGTGGCAGCCCATTCATTGAAATTTGTGGCCTAATGCACCACAACAAACCATGGCGTATGCAGCATTTTTGGCAAATCGTGCTTGCAGCTGTTTCAAAGGGGGTGGAGCTTTAGAATGCGCTGCAAGGCAAATGTGCTGCAAAGGTGCCTCGAGGTGCCATTGAAAATGAATAGTCCGTGGCAGGTAATGACTCCTCGCCCGGGTTCCTGATAACGGAAGTAACGGAATGCTGTGTTCGGGTTTCATGGCAGCTGAAACCCAGACAAAAGATGTCAGGCAGACAGGGGCAACCAAAATTAAGATAGGGGCTTATTGGCCTCGACTGTGGTGGTGCTATTAAGATATAAATAAGCCGCTACTCATTCTCCTTAAAAATTTCTGTGCGTCACTAGAGTGTTCGTGTTTCACTGGAAGAAAAGGTGGCAACCCTAACCGCATCGCACCAGCACGTGTAACAAGCATTACTTTCAATGATGTGAGCATTCTCCAGCATTTCATACCCACAAATTATATATATTAATTCACGTAGTAATTTTTAAAAAAATTTCACAATGAATCCGGAATCCGCTGTTTTTATTTAGTAAATACACTCAGTAATCATCTGATCACGTGTTTTAAAGCGCTGGGGAGGGGGCGGGGTCAGCCCTTCCTGATCATGTGATCTTATAACTTAACAACGTGCCAAAACATTTCCATCCCCAAGAACAACCGCCAATCAGCGAGCAGTGCGGAGAGCAATGTATGATACATGGTATCTTCCCCGATCACGTGAGCGGGGCGGGGGCGCGCATGGCTTGGAGAGTAGAACAGTGAGAACGCAGAACGGGGATAGCAACGAAGTTCAGGGGCGCGCACAGCTGGCAGAGGGCCGGGGGCGCGCACACAGCGAAGTGATGGGAGAGGGCTGGGAGCGCGTTCTCGTGTTGCAGTTTCGGTTTCCTGGTTGAGTCTGGTGCCGGGAGGAGAAGAGGGCGGATGAGGGGCCCTTCCCTGGGTGGTCACAGCTGAGCTTTCCTTCTGGCTCCTACAATCTGGATCGGAGCTCGGGATCTACAGATTAGATCGGTGGAGTTTCAGGGGTTCGACCACAATTTAGGAGAGATTTAGGAAAGCCAGATCTGCAGATCTGATCGGGTGTGTAGAGACTGCGATTTGTCAGATCGGAGATATTTTAGGGTTTGGGAAGAGTTATTTATAGTAACAGATCTGCCAAGCTCATTGGATAGATTGTAGGGATTGTACAGATTGATCCCTACTATCGGGTTAACGATTAGATTGGGGGTCACCCATCTGCCTGGTGGAGTGATATCTCGGCTATCGATTTTAGAATAATTGCTTAGAAAACATTTTCAAATTAAAGATTTGATTGGTGGATTCTCTGGACACCCGGATCTGCGGGGGCCGGACGTAGAGTCACAAGGGTCCAGATCTGCAGATTGATTGGGTGGACCTGACGCGTTAAGAGATTCCAGTACTGAACCACCAATTAGATTGGGACAATTTGATTGCACGTAACCGGCCCAAATTAACTGATCTGTAGTAGAACACAGAACTGGGAAGGCAGATAATTGTAGGTGGGTCCATATCTCACGGGCGGACATCTTTCCAGCACCAGACACCCCGCCCCCTTGGACATGTCTGACCCTGGACCCATTTCCCTGCGCCTATGCAAGGTGCTCTGCTCCAATGGGGGCAGTATGGAGCTGGGGCATTTGGCCCGTGCCCTGCAGCTGAGCTCAAAGAAGTTTTCCAAGCTGATGGATTTGGAGAAAGGTCGGACCCTGGTGGTCAGAAATCAGGATGGCAATGAGATGGTGGTATACACCAGTCAGCTGCGCATGTGTGCCGACCGGAACCAGGAGTGTACGGGCGACTGCGGGAAACTCCACTTGTGCCGCTTTTTCATTCTGGGCGGCTGCAGCAGGTAAAGGGGCTGCGGGTTATTTTATCACATTTCCCCTATTAAAAAAATAAAGGAAATAATGTAGCCAGCTGTTCCTCCCGGGCTGGATACCTTTTCCATCTTCCCTGTCCTTCCCCTCCCCCTCTCTGCCTTCTCCCCTCCCTTTATTCCTCTTCCTCCCCTTCTTGACTTCTTTCTCCCTCCCTTCCCCCTCCTCTTGCTCCGCCTTTTCCCTCACTTCCCTTCCTCTTTTTCCAATTCTCTGTCCCTCCCTTTTATCCAATTTCTTCCCTTCCTTCCCTCTCCTTTTCCCTTCCTCCTCGTCCATCCCCTTCTTTTGTCCTTCCTTCATCCCCTTTCTCCTTTACTTTTCCTATCTTTTCTTCTCTTTCTTTCCCGTCCCTTTTCTTTCCCTTTCTTCTCTTTCTTTCCTTTCTCTTTTCTTTCCCTCTTTCTTTTCTTTGCCTCTTTTTTTGTTTTCTTTCCGTCCCTTTTTTTCCCCTTTCTTTCCCTTTTTCTTTCTTTTCTTCCTTTCATTTTCTTTCCCTTTCTTTCCTCTTTTTTTTCTTTCTCTCCTTTTCATTTCCTTTTTTTCCCTCTTCTTTTCTTTCCTTTTCTTCTCTTCCTATTCTTTGCTTTTTCTTTTCGTTCCCCTTTTCTTTTCTTTCCCCTTTTCTTTTTTCCCCTCTTCTTTTCTTTTCGTTCCCCTCTTCTTTTCGTTCCCCTCTTCTTTTCTTTCCCCCCCCCTCTTTTCTGTCCCCTCTTCTTTTCTTTTCCCCCCCTCTTTTCTTTT